TTCCAGGGCTTTTTGCTAGATTCAGCATAATAAGAAGGTTTACTAAAAGTCTTTTTACTACGTTTGTGGTAGCTTTTAGATTGACCATAAGGCTTATGTGATTTGGTTTTTCTGCGGGATGGTGGTACTGAAGGGAGACCATATTGTTTACAGAAATTACCCATTTCATATTTAGCCTTTTTCTTCTCATTTTTTAATTGATGTTAGATCTTCATATCAATACACATCTTAAGGCCTTCCTTTTGGATGGTACTAACAAGATCACCATCGGTTCGTGAATCATATTCAATGATTCCATTGTCTTTACTTAGGGCGGTCCTAATCTTATGGGCAAAGAGATTAGGTAGGCCATTTACAAATTTTTCTTTCCAGAAAGATTTATCATAATCTAGCCTAAGCATAACTCTAAAGATGAATACATCTTTGTACCATCTGAAATCACTAAGTATTGGGCACTTAAGGTTGCTAAGCTGGTCATGGACTCTAGCTTCAATGTTATCGGATGTGCCAACAAAATGTTTGATTATGGTGAAGATGAGGGTATTAATTCCATCATCTTTGGCTCTACCAATTCTTTCATTAAAGACTGGTATGCCTTCATCGTCAAGAACAACAGCATGCTTGATGCCATCTCTTGACTCTTGAGTGAGGTAATTAGTCCACCAATTACTTAATACTCCTGTGAAACCAGAGGTGATCATGTCAACTAATTCTAGTTCTGAGAGATCAAGATTTGAAGCGTAGCTATTGGCTACCATGGAAAGGTGGCTAATTTTGTTAAGGATTTCCTGTTCACTTAATCCATCTATGTTCCATTCATGGAGTTTATCATATTTAATAGAAAACTGATTACTAATATTCTTTTCTTCAAATTGAAGATCCGGTGGTGTTGGTCTAGTGTACCAATTTTTGTATTACTAGTTGGATTAACTTTTGAAAAAGTTAATTTGTTAAATTTGAGGTTATCAAACTGTTCTTCTAATTTCTCAATTTCATAATCAGCTTTCTGAGCTACTAGTTTCTGAATGATCAGAAGTTTGGTTGATAACTGTTACTTGAGATGGTCTAGATTTGGATTCTTGTTTTGAGATAAGTTCTTCAATCTTTTGGATTGTTTGCTTATCTTTTAAACCTAATCTGGATCTATCTTCAAGTAGATGAATTAGAAGTTTCTCTAACTTTTTACTGGGTGGCTTGATTTCGTCGATTTTAGATTCAATTTTATCAAGTGGTTTTCCAATAGTTAATAAACTTTGATTGGTGAAATTATTTTGTTCAATCATCTTCGTTTCAGATTTATTAGTAGGTTTCTTAAAAGGAGAAGCCTTTACTTCTGAACTTCGATGATCAATTAAAATAGTTTCTGCTAGAGGATGACTAGATGTTTTTACAGAATTATCTAGTGTCTTCCATTTATGTTTTGTTACTATTTTTATTTCTGGATGATGGGTTTCTAAATAATCAAAAATTAAAATTTCTGATTCTACTTTGTACATTATTTTTACCCATTGTGCCATTATTTCTTNTCTGGATGATGGGTTTCTAAATAATCAAAAATTAAAATTTCTGATTCTACTTTGTACATTATTTTTATCCATTGTGCCATTATTTCTATATGTTGAGTATTATTGAATCTTTTAAAGTATTTTTGTCTTTTAGATTTATTTTCAACAGAATTAAAATCTTTTTTTAGTTTAATCATGTTAGGTAAGAATAATCTCTTTTCTTTCCTAATCATGAGTAACTGGTGATCTATTGGGGCAATGCTCTGAAGGTCACTGGCTGTAGATGAAGGGGTGAAGTCATCTTCTTCATTCCTACGACTAGACTGTGGAACACTCTGATGTGGAGTGTAGCAAGGTCTACTAATTTGTGGTGTGGAATTATCGATTCCTTTTAACTTAAATTTTCGTTTTAATTCTTTTGTTAATTCTTTATCTCTTTTGGAGATGCTAGAATAAACATCAGATTTTCTTCCTTCATTAATTTGAATAGGTTTTTCAAATGATTTGGTTGATCTATTAGATCTTGCAGAATCAAAGGAGATTCTTACTAATCCATCAAACAACTATTGGATGTTTTCTAGGTTAGTGGCAGTATTTTCACCATCCTTGTTATGGTTTTCATTTTTCACTAGTATTGGCTTGGATGTTGAAGATTCTGGAAGTTGAACATTTTTCCATTCAAGTCTTTTGGGGATTTGGATGTTTGAATCACTAGTACTGGCTTGGATGAGCACTATTTTATCTTTAGGATGCTTCTTAAGTGCATGTACATCCAGATTTGTAGTTATGCATTTATAGTATATCCTATAGATAAGTACTAGAGATTAGGTTTTTTTTACCAGTTTGGTAATTTGACCCAACAAATTTATACCTAAGGTCAAAGCCATATGTGTATTTTTACAACTAAGACTAAGGGTAAAGTCCGGAAAGTAGTTGAAATAAACTGGTCCGTTATGAAGACCAATCTCCATTATTCCTAAAATGCTAGATTCATATTCTATGAATCTGACATCTCTTAAGGTTAATAGAGCTGCTGCGTCTTTACCTGGTGACATCAATGGTTTAATTGCTATTTGAACTTAACCAAGGTGTATAAAATTAAAACATTTTTCCCTATGTTTTTGTAGGGCTTTTTTGCTAATTAATTGAAAAGTTCCTTCCTTTTTGCTGAGAGCATAAACTTGTTCCATTGTTTTTACTTGAAGTTCTGAATTGAACGATTTTGGAACCCAACTCCTCTTATAGATATTTTGATGGGATACCTTTGGGATATTTCATCCACTCCAATCCACTTGTGACTCATGGTGTTCTTCTTCTTCCTCATTTACTATATTAGGTATAGTACTAAATGAAGAACTAGATGAGTTAGCCATAGAGTTAGATCTGAATAAGCTACTCATTATTAAATATAATTTTTTAATTATATAAATTAATGTTTAAGTTTGACTTCATTGTACATATTCTCTAACATTCATGTTCTCATGGTATGTCTCTGCGTCATAAGGCTGCCTACACACGAGAACTTACAAACAGAACTAAATTGAGACTCGCCCCTCTTGAACCAACAAAGGTATATATATATATATATATATATATATATATATATATATAGGTAAGGTAGGGTAAAAATACGAAAATTTGATGGGCATTCCACATTCCTAACCGNCCCCCAAAAATATATATATATATATATATATATATATATATATATATATATATATATATAGGTAAGGTAGGGTAAAAATACGAAAATTTGATGGGCATTCCACATTCCTAACCGATTTAATCGAAAGACCAAAAAATATTTTGCATTTCTATCTAATTTTTTTGGTTAACCGATCAATAAAGTCAAGTAAAATCAAGTAAAATTAAAAATTACACATAATCAGAAATTTGAACACCCTAATAGCAGCCACCTTCTTTTTGAGTTTGAAAGGACTTTCCGGTTAGCCCTTTAGTTTAGGTTGATCATGAGTAAGTCGAAATTCTAATCCTAGTAGTAAATAAATTTACATCGAAATCCAACCCAAATACTAAACATATCCTATCCAAATATTACATTTTTTAGAGTAAATTCGAGTTAACCTGCCCTTATTATTTCAGAAATTTCAGAATTTGTAAATAGTAATATTATAGTGATCAAATTTTGAGACTAAATTTAAAATCTAACTGACATGACAATTGACTTAAACTTTTTTATTTAATGTTATGTTATTTAAGTCCCAATAAAAATTTTAAATAATATATTACCATATCATTTGAATTTTAAATTTAATCTCAAAATTTAGTAACTATAACATTACTCGTTTGCAACAGAAACAGATCTCTCTCTCTCTCTCCGGATCAAGCTAGAAACTGTGTCCCCCGAACACATCCTCCCACCACATTGATGCCCATTCCATGACGTCCGTTTCTGAAGGCGTGTCGCCAGCTACGGCCCCCATAAGACACGTAGACTCATTCCTCTTGCCACGTTACACCTTATTAGATCTCTACTACTAATGATTTCTGTATTCTATCAACCTCACCGATTCTGCACCGATACATGTACTGCCCTCTCTGTCTCTCTATATATATCTTTTATCCGACCACAGTTAATCATCACCATCTTTAGAGCATTTCCGAGAAATTATTTAAAATAATTATTTAAAATATATTTAAATATTATATTATTTATTTTAATTAATTATTTTTTCAAACTCGTTCTATAACAACGTTATCTATTTTAATTAACTAGTTCAACTAATTTTAACTAATTTTTAATAATAAAATATAAAATAATATTTCACTATATTGTTCACCATCAAAAATTCTCTCAAATTCAAGTCAAATTCTTCGTCATAGTCCAGCATTGACAGTCGATACAAAAACCAAAACTCCGGCATTCAGCATAGAAAAACCATAAGGAATAACCCAGAATATGAAACTCCAGAAAAAGAAAAAAATTCCCATATGGTTGCTTGCGAAAGCAACAAAATAAGATAACATTTGGGAACAATAACCACCTCTCAGTTAAAGTCCATTGGATCAATATATAAAAGAAAGAAAAATAGATTATGAAATTTTGAAACATATTAGAGATTTTTTGGAGATATGAAGCTTTCGGTGAAGCTTCGGTGGAGCCTTGTCAGTGATAGATTTGTCGGTGAACCAGAGGAAGCTTTGGAGATCTGAAGCTTTCGGTGAAGCTTTCGGCGACTGTTTCGGTGGAGTCTGCGATGAAGCTTTATTGTTCTGTGCTATGGAGCTTCAGTGAGAGAAAGAGAGAGAGAGAGAGGGCCAGCGAGCGAGAAGGGCTAGCTACGTCCAGCGACCAAAAATGAGGTTATGTATTTTACATAAGGGAGTAGCTAACCTGTTGGAATAATATTTTGGACAGAGGTTATCTAAAATAGCTAAAGGGGTTGGTTTAGCCAACCTCTTGGAGATGCTCTTACACAACCCACGTGAGAACTCATTGTAGGAGAGTATTAGTTCCTGTGAGGTGAATCATCAATGGCGTCTGGAGGGCAGCAGTTTCCACCACAGAAGCAGGAGATTCAGCCTGGGAAAGAGCATATCATGGATCCTACTCCTCAGGCTACTAGTCATGAGTACAAGGCCGCCAATAAGCTTCATGTATATGCTCTCTTTCTATACATTTGTATCACAGCATTCACACATCGCATGCATGTCTGCATATGCTCGTGACTCTGGTATTTTAATCCGGGTTTCTTTTCTTGTGCACTGAGCACTCTCTTTTATACACAAATAAAGACCAACGAATGCATGTACAAGTTCATATGCAATTGAAGATAAAGATCATGTATGAACCAGTCTCATTGCATGTCATGGTCATTTTTGCAGGGAAAGGTGGCACTGGTGACCGGGGGCGATTCCGGCATCGGCCGAGCTGTCTGCCATTGCTACGCACTGGAGGGTGCAACTGTGGCATTCACATACGTGAAGGGTCAGGAGGACAAGGACGCACAACACACCCTCCAAATGCTGAAGCAAGCAAAGAGCCCCCAAGCGAAGGACCCAATGGCCGTGCCGGCCGATTTGGGATATGATGAGAACTGCAAGAAAGTGGTGGACGAGGTCGTGAATGACTATGGAAGGATTGATATTCAGGTTAACAATGCCGCTGAGCAGTACAAGGCAGCCTCGGTGGAGGAGATTGATGAGGAGAGGCTTGAAAGGGTGTTTAGGACTAATATATTTGCTTACTTCTTTATGGTCAGGTATAGATGTTCATACGGTGTCATAATTCCTTCTAATTTTGTTTTGGGTTTCTAGAATTTGGTCCCAAAATTTGATAGTACTTGATAATGTTTTTGAATTACTTTATCAAAGTGTACCTATACTCTTTTTTTTTTTTCGTCATTTCGACTTTATTATGTTTGGTGCGGATTGCAGGCATGCTTTGAAGCACATGAAAGAAGGGAGCTCCATCATCAACACAACATCAGTTACANCTTGATAATGTTTTTGAATTACTTTATCAAAGTGTACCTATACTCTTTTTTTTTTTTTGTCATTTCGACTTTATTATGTTTGGTGCGGATTGCAGGCATGCTTTGAAGCACATGAAAGAAGGGAGCTTCATCATCAACACAACATCAGTTACTGCATATAAGGGACACCCTACGCTACTTGACTACGCCTCCACCAAATGGGCCATTGTGGCATTTATTAGAGGACTTGCACTCTACCTAGTAGACAAAGGCATACGTGTCAACGGGGTAACTCCCGGTCCGATCTGGACACCGCTGATTCCGGCATCCTTCAGTGAGGAAGAAGTGAAGAAATTTGGGGCTAATGTGCCAATGCATAGGGCAGGTCAGCCTATTGAGGTTGCACCATCCTATGTTTTCCTTGCCTCTAACCCAGAGTCCTCTTATATGACCGGACAGGTCCTCCACCCAAACGGTATGTCCTTCGACAATCCTATAACACGTATTGAGATTCTTTTTTGGTCTTATTATATTAAGTCGGTTCTCCACCAATACATGGAGGGTAATCTAATATACAGGTGATTAAAAGAGATCAGTGTTGACATTATGGTAGTAGTCGTCATCTATGTTGTTCTACATGGCTTAGTTTTGATTATGAATTTAACTATTTACACATGAAAGAAGGCATAAGTGTATTTTCCTCTCTCCATGTTTTTGTTTTTGCAGGTGGAACGATAGTCAATGGTTGATGAGAACTGCTGTTGGCGTTTTTTTTTAGATGTATGTTTGGTCAGTTTGAAATGGGTGCTTTGCTACTGTGTTGTATGCATTGTTTGTAGTGGGGCTGGTTTTGTGAATGATATATGCTTTTTTTGTATGTAGTCCCTAGTAATCTAATGATTACTATATTTTAAGGATCGTTGCCNTATGCTTTTTTTGTATGTAGTCCCTAGTAATCTAATGATTACTATATTTTAAGGATCATTGTNGCATTGTTTGTAGTGGGGCTGGTTTTGTGAATGATATATGCTTTTTTTGTATGTAGTCCCTAGTAATCTAATGATTACTATATTTTAAGGATCGTTGCCCCCTTCCCAACTATTTACGATCTTTAGAGCAAAAAGATCAACATGATTAGTGTATTGTATTGAAATGAAAATGTTTAGGAACGGATAAAATTTTTTGAAAATGTAAGTTCAAAATATTATAGAACGTTGATTAATATATGTTGAAATACTTTGAAATATTTTGAAACATTAGTAAAATTTGCTAATATTTTGAAACATTTTGATTTGGAAGCATGTCAATACCAATTCAATTTTTAATCCGTTTCAATCTCCCCTTGGACAACGGAAAATTGAAATAATAGTTTTGAATGAAATTTTGATCAAAGAGATGATCAATGTTATCTAAATCGTGAGTCATTTTGGTACATGATATAAGTACAAATACAGGTATATGATACGACATTTTCTTAAATAAGTGATACGAGGAGAATAAACTTAACCGGTAGGGTATTTTGGGTCGTAATTTGTTTTACAATATTTATATAAATCGTTTCCACTATTATACAACATTATATATTACAGAACATCCATCAGATATTAAGTCAATTATCATTTATCTTATAATTATACTTAATTTTCTATTATTCAAAATAATATGTAATTATAAATCTATATACATGCAATCAATTAATATGTATTTTATATTTGTGCTACATGTTTTAAAGCAAATTGTGTTAACCCAAAATAGTTTTTTAAGTATAAAAATTGAATTTTTAGTCGATTTTGAGTCTAAATTCAAGTGGGACCCATTTGGTATTTTAAATAAATTTTCATAGGTTCATATTTTATTCCGTGAGGAAAATAACGTAGTATATTCACTTGCTCAAATCGAGTAAGAAATGAATGAGAAAATCGGCTCCAAAATGACCCTCTTGAATTGTGAAATAAAAGTTATGCAATATAAAATTTGACACCAATCCCATATTGATTGAATAAGAAATTCTAAATAGGCATATATAGGCTAAGTTTGCTCTATGAGATTGGACCCCAATGGGTACCACGGTTTTATGAGCAGAGCGAGCACCTACATCCCTTCGGTTCAACCACACGCGTGCCTCCCGCCACGACCCGAACCGGGTGTGGGTGTGTCATATCTTTTTTGAGAAAATTATTTTAATTAATGGGTATGAATTTCTTAACCTAAAATTTAAATTCCAGTATCCGATTGGATATGAATTTAGATGTGTTGCTTCACTCTAGTCCGAATTAAGTTGTTTCTGTTTCATACAGAACA